AGGGTCCCCTGGCCTGGAAGCAAGCAAGCTAACCACCAGGCCACAGGCCTCTTTAAGATATTTATTTCGGAACTTATATTTAAAGGTTAGGATTGCGCAATTTCAAAAAAGGTCAGAGAGCACACCACATTTGCATGTATTTAAATAACAATAAACCAATTTCAATTAGTTAAAAGACAGAGAATGCACAAAATATTCAGAGCTTGCATGTATTTATGACCCCATGATACCTCTGAAACTGTTTTTCAGAGAGGAGAAAACATTGCGTGGACGTGTGCAAGTCCACACAATGCCATCACACCCTACAGAGGTCCACACTATGTAGGCCACGCCGGCACAGCACGGCATGTCAGCGGGCACTCCTATCCATATGATGCATGATATGATGCAAAGGTGCATACCCCCCATGAAGCACCCATGAAGCCAGACAGACAGGAGACATGGCGTCACCGGTGAAGCTTCTAAGTTCTTAGTTTTTGACCAAGGTACCTCTGCTCCTCAGTCCGGCAAAAAATCTCCATGCCACTCGTCAGGAAGGTGGTCAAACCTCAGCGAGTACACTAGATTGGCCACCACTTAATTTGCATAACCCTGGAAACTTACAATAACTGAAATTCCTTTCAAACACTTGACAACCACAGCAATTTTGGAAATTTGGAATTAAAGTAGATTTTGGGTTGCTCAATTTAAAAAAGGAAGCTTAACCCCCTTGCTGTTCAACGTTGAAGAAAAAAAATATCTCAGGAACTCTTGGTAAAATAAAACAGGAAAGCTTACCTCTGAGACTTTCATTTGTGAAGAATATAACAAATTCTTTGCTGCAGCCGTTCAATTTTGAAAAACCTGAATACCTGGGGAGCTCAAATAAAAGAAAATGTCAGTGTTGTGAAAAGTGAAGATTGGGGAACTCTATAAATGAAATCAACTAATTTTAGAAAACGGAAAAGATGACAACTGGTCACAACCACCGTTTCATTTTCATTACGAAAATTTTATTTGCATACATTTTCCAATTGCAGTTAGCTCAGGAGGAAAACTCTACAGAGAGGTGGAACTAGCTTCCAACGCAGTACATTACAAAATGCCTGAAGAGCACTTCCCTCATGCAAGGGACCCGCGCGTTGACAAAAATACAAACCTATAAAACAAAACAAACTGAAATAACCCCCAAAACCAATCAATATTATTATTTCAATACTCACATTTCTGGATATGACATGCGGAAAGAGAATGGATTCAACTCAGCTGAGCAAAATACCTACAAATACATTAACTCTCATATCATAGTTTAATTTTGCTAAACTCATCGTCAATGGTATGTGGCATTGAGGTACAATTTGTAGTCTAATCACAGTTACTGTAAAGATTTTCAAGACGTATCTTCTTAGATTTTGACCAAGGTGCCAAGACACAAATTGATCTCGACGATCAAATGCAATGGACTGTGGCATTACAAAAATGGCACCGCAGAAAAGTTCAGGGCAAATTTGGGATATCATCGATCCTCAACACAAGCTTTGCTTTTTTTTTTTACATGCACTCCTGTTGGGAATTCCACACAGGACATTATTCAAGTACTGAGATCGCAATAGTACTGCTCACAACAGCTGAGACACAGCGAATTACAACAGCAATAATGGATCCATTGTGCACTTAGTAATGGTGAGAATTTTCAACCATTTAAGAATCTAAACGAGACGGGTGTCAGGTGAATTTCGGGGGACAAACCAAAAAGTAACGTAACTATATTAAGGTTCTGTCTCTCTTCATTTTTCCCACTATCAGGTCACACTACGCATAAAGGTTGGGAATCAATTATTTTCAAACTGGCTTTCCCCTAAAAATTGTGACCACTCACTCTTCTGAAAGACAGAAAGTTACAATGATGTACTGGAATTAAACAAAAAAGTATTAACAGAGTATATCTCTGGATTCGAGTGGCCTTCATACACCAATAGATGGCGCTCTTCACAGACAATTAGTTAACATACAACTGAAAAACATACACAAATTTGCTACCGAACACCTTTTTTTTTTTAAACGCTGGTGGGCAAATTTACAGCTATTCTTTTGTTTCAAATCACAAGCAGCGAGACGTTTCTACCTTCCCCCTTCCTGTTTCTGGAATGCACTTCTGCCGATATTTACATCACAAAACATGCTCTCAATAATTTTCAATTTGTTTTTCTTTTTTTCTTTGCCAACAAATATTTAGGCACATAATAAATACGTCAACAAAGGTTAAATCTCCAACACACCAATGTTAATCTGAGCAGTAATGTTTATATCCCATTAACAACCAGAAAAATCCAACAGCTTAACAAAGACCTCAAAAGTCAGCAGATCTCATGACGTAATTACAGAGCTTTTGTTTTAGTGAAAAACACAAGTGGTTAATATATTATTTACAAATCTTAATTCTTTACAGAAACCATTGTACAGTTCATCTGATGCAACTGAGTAACACGTTACAATTAATACAAACTTCCAACCCCTTTGAACCTGTCATTTATGTCAGCAATGATCCCACGATACAACCCAATTACATCTCCAAGCTCGGACGATACACAAGCGTGGACAAACATACTCTAAAAATGCCAGACACGGGCAGAGTAAAACAGGTGGTAGGACTTCACACAAGCATATCGAATTAGTTGCTAAGCGGTTTGGCCAAACATGACGAGAATTTGTCTTTCAACACCCTGCAGTCGCCCATGACTTACAGAAACAACTCGGCATGTTATGAAACAATTCAGACAGGTCAGAGGATAGTCAGTTTTCTTTTAAAACCAGTCAACTCAAAACATTTTCTAAAATCTAACTCTAGGTTAGGCTAGCAGAGAAGCAGTTGTTAAACTGAGTTAATTATTTATCAAGAGGTTTAACAACAAAAAAGACTGAATTTAGGATGAATAAATCAAGGCTAATTATAACCACTTGTTGAAAAGTACGGTGTATTCAGTTATGTACAAAATATACTCCACTTTTGGAGGGACTTTGGTCGGGCAACTTAACTTAAAAATAAAGTTCATGAGAAGAGCTTATTTTTAAAAAAACGGAATCAGTTAGGCTTGTAGAGATTAAAAACGAAAGGAGTAAAAAATTATCTAAGAGTCTAGCTGTAAAAATCGGATCTTATTTCAATTTTCTTTTCATTTCAAATCAAGAAGACATGGCATACTTCAAAGTCTAACAAATTATTTTTTTTCAAAAATGCAAAAACAATTATTGGCACAGTGCCAATTACTGCAAAACAAAGTACTGTTCAGAGTAGAATCAAGGACTTAAAAAAAACCTTTTTTTCACTTTTGGAGCTCACATTTTTTTCCTGCAATCATCTCCAACTTGTTTTTTTTTTCCCCCTCCAGACAAACCTCAATGAAAATTGAACCAGTTGCATTATGTGCTTGAAATCACGGAAAAAACTCAAACACCAAAAAGACCACACATCCCATAATCTGGTCTTGAGGTTATGGTAGTATTTAACTGCTTGGCAAAAAAAAAATCAAGATGGTTATAAAGACAAAACTTTTTTGTCGGTACAAAACACGATTGTCTCAACAGATGAAATCACACACGTTCTGATTATATATCTTGTGAGGGTTACATAAACATGTACAATATGACAGAACGCACCAATTATGAAAGCGGACCCAAATTTACTGAAAAACTTGAGATTCAAAACTGATAATTTTTCTATGCAACTTAACTGTTCTCCCACCACCATTGAAATTAAACAATAAAATGATATAATTTGATTGTCTATGTTACAGAATGATTGTCTGCTAGTACCTTCAAATCAGATATTTCTTTTTTGATGATTTTTTTGGGCAATTTTACTTTTTTTTTAATTCTTTCTTTTTTTTCTTCTTTTTTTATAAAATAGCAATGGGCAGAGACAAGTCCTTGGGAAAATATGAAGTGACCACCTCCTCAAATATACTGATTTGCCAAAAAAAGACCTGACGTTTTCTCACTTCAGCTAAATTTGCTGGATACAGGGGCAGTTCGGAGGAACATTACCCCATCAACCTATCACCTGGATTTGCCATTTCCGTCATTAAAAAACAAGACGGCGGTAAACATTTTCCCATTTCTGGCTGTAACAAATGTTTTCAAAGTGCATACACTTCCTTACATACCCTGGACACAGTGCCTCAAACTTTTATTTACATGAGCAATACTTAAAAATGCTAACAGAACTAAAATTGAAAACGAATTATACATTCTTGTCGTTCAGCTGAGTTTTTTCTTCCTTTTATAAGTTAAACGATTCCCCAAAAATATTTATCTCCAGTCATCACAAAATGGCGTTTCTTCAGTGAACATGGAACTTTACTCAGTCACTTGTGACATTTTCAAGATTCAAAAAAATATGTTTTTGTCATTACCGTTTGTGGCTTTACCCCTTCTCTCTTTTTGACACAGAAGAAAATAAGTTTTTGTGATTCAGCAATTTCTGTTTTTTAATTTTGTTGTTTTTTACAGATATACAGCCAAACTCAATGTGACATTTGGCAATAGTTTTCATCCAGGTGTTAACTAGCATGCACTTTAATTTCAAAACATGCTGACGGCCAGAAACAATTGTGGCCTGTGTATCAGTGACGCTACTTACACCGCCAACACTTTGACAGGGTTCAGAAGGATAGCAGCCATCAGTCTAGAACCTTGACTCGTCACAAGAAGGCGGGTATTTTTGGGTGCAAAGACTGCTACACTACTCGGGCAATGTATAAGCTAACACTAGGCCTGTGACTGTCCCACTCCTTCTGTGCATGCAAAAGCACCACAGTTGACGGGCGCGCACCAACCTCCTGGTCACTGGCCAGTGGACTGGCCACTTGTCACAGTTCCAGCCGGTAACTTGGTGGCTAATTTCCACGCAAGATTTCGCCTGCTGCAGCAGGCACTCTGCAAGTCTGTCTGTGAGGAACAACTGTGGCTCAGCCGTTTCTAGGGTTTGATGGATCAAGCGGTGAGGCTGTCTGGGTATCATGCTGGCCAGTAAAGTGGCTGGTAAGTTGGCCTCAAGACTCAAAAAAGAAGTTTTGGAGATGCGCAGCTATTTGTAGGGAGCGTTGAACGTCGGTGATTCTGAGCTGACGGTCTCAATCCCGCCAGCCAGGGTCATCTAGTCTGTTTTCTGATAGTCTGACCGGGAAGAAGGCTGGACTGTGGATTGTTGCAGTCATTAAGGCCAATATCAACGTTGTAGGCTACTGAGGTAGCCAGCTGTCTTGTCAGATTGGCTTCAAGCCATGCAGTCTGCCATCACCATTAACACAAGACTTTCTGGTGGGGCCAGCTCGCCAGTAGGTTGTACCGTCTACCGATGATTCACTGAAACCCCAATCAGTGGGAAACTGTCCTCGGCATGGCCTGTAGGTCACAGGTTCAACAGCAGAGCTGTTGCATATCCAGGTACTGGTCACAACCCACTGAGCAAAGGCCATGGGCCACTTGTCACCGGCCACTGGCCAGGTTGGCCTCAAGCAGTGTCTGTTCACTGAATAATTTTTCTGTCCTGGAGCAAGTCACTCACTGAATGGCCACCGGATAAGTAACATCTCTCACACAGTTTGTTACACTGCAAAGATTCCTTGTGACGTCTTGTGTTCTCATTGAAAGCTACGTGGTTGAACTTCAGACGTTATATCTAGCTTGGACATCCTTGCCGTAGTGAAAATTTTGCAATGTACATAGATGAGGGCTCCTTTTGTTAGGTACCTGTCTTTTTAAATTACAGCGAGCCGTGACATTATTCAACAGTTTTTTTCCAAAGTTTACAAAAACAAGCTTACAGCCTCAACCCATTTTTGGCAGCCAGAAAAAAAAAATACAAGGCTGCAAATGACACTAGTCTCTCACACCGGCAGAAAAAACCTAAAGATATCTACAAAGGTGGCTTAGTCTCTCCTCCAGACTCTATACTAGCGTCTCCTCCGACTGCTCCAGGTGGGAGCGGATGGCCTGGATGCTCTTCATGATTTTCTTCTGGTGGCCAACCAGGTTGACGCCCAGGCGGGGCAGGTCGCCCTGGGAGATGCGGGCGATGTCCTCCAGCCGCACGTAGCCAGCCTGGGAGAAGGTGTCCTTGTAGCGGCCCATCTTGATGCTCTCCAGCCAGTCCGTGACAGAGCGGAGCTGGCTGACATCAGTGGCGCTGTTGTTTATCTGGTTGACCCTAGGTGAGCAACGACAAAAAGCCCCAAATATTAAACAAAGTGTGCGCTGTTAGTGAATCTCTCCTATTACTGCAATGCAACTGACGGTATGGCTTCAGGTCTTTACCACGGTACACAAATTGTGGTAATACCACAAACAGCAATCGATGGACACTTGACAGTCATGTTGGCCGTACACCGATTGCTCATGCGTACTGAACAGCTTTTGTGCACATTCAGTCGAAATTTAGTCCCACGCTATAAACAACAGTACCCAGGCCATTACCGCGCCAAGGTGCTAATATCCTATGGATGGGAAAGTCGAGACGAAGTTCTTGGGGACAGGTACTTGGTCCAGTATTTCCCTACCACATCACCATTTCAACACGTCTGCTATCCCCACAACCACGGTACACGTACGTGGATCCACGCGATCCTGAACAGGTTATTAAAAACCAGCTGATTTTTAACAGGTCCTTACTTCCTTATCGAAGCATGAGAACATTACAACATATTTGTAAGCTATGACACTTTCAAAGCGCAATGTCAAAATCTGTATTTCCACTAAGCAGCTCCACTCTTTTGTGTTATAAAAACTGAAACACCACAGACATATCAGTTGTTTACCAAATTTTTCAACGCCACTTTCATTAATATTTAGATACCTCGGGTTCATTCTCCAGATCTGTGATCACACTGACTTTATAAACCTAATCGATATACACAAGATGCATCTCTTTACATGAAATGAGCGTCCACTTACTCGGCCTTGGCCAACGGCCGCAGGGCATGGGGGTTCCTGGTCAGGCGGTCCAGGGTGGAGACGATGGTGGAGAAGGTGGGGCGATGGTTGCGGTCCTTCTGCCAACAGTCCAGCATGAGCTGGTGAAGCGCCTCGGGACAGTCCATGGGGGGAGGCAGACGGTAGCCCTTGTCAACGGCACGGATCACCTGAAGGGGGAGGGGTGGTTTCCACATCAATTTATTAACAGTACAGGGGGGGGCCCTAATCTTCCTCACTTGCAGCCTCAAGGCTCAAGGGTGGTTCCATAACAAATTTTGGTGGAGGGGGTAGCAGACTTGTTTTTAGGGGGAGGGGAGCTCAAAATTTGGAAACACTCTCACGTAACAGTTTATAGCCTTTCTGAACGATTAGACTAACTTTAGTTGCTTTGGACACACTTTTGGAGGAAGGGGAAGTGGAACAATCCGAAATTGCCTTTCACTATTAGAAGAGAATGGCAGGGGAGGGAGGCATGGCACTGTCATCCACCCTTGGCAAGACTGAACTCTGAAAGACGCAGCTGTGACATTGTCAAGCCAGAGGCATGTATAAAGAAGCAACAGGCACCTGCTTCATAGCAGCCCACGTTTGACCACGGAGATGTTGATTTGTGCAACGGGAGAAAAAGTAAAGAACCCCAAGAAAAAAACAAAACCCCTCTTGGTGCAAGAGAGCATCCGTGAACAACTCCACTCACATGCGTGTGGGGCTTAGGCCTGGGCTAAAACGTTGAGAGGGTCTGCAATGAAGACACTAAAAACCTGTCCGCATTTGGAATGCGGCCGGAAAAATTCCCTTCCTTAATTCCAAGACTTTATTCGGACTCTCTAAACAGGCCCGCAGTGTTGCTGGGACAAAACGCAACCTACAGGCCAAGCCCTGATACACATTGCTGCAAACGCTGGGGTGTGGGCTGGCTCAACCATACATATCAAGAGAGAAATGAATCTAATCTAGGAGAGCCAATCCTTTCAATCAGAATGGGCTGAACACGTCTGTTCTAATCATCTTCAGCTCTCTTCTTATCCTGTCTTTGTTTACAATAGTCATAAATTTACTTTTTGATCAGACTAATATCGACCACTACTTTATATTTATTTTTTTCTATTTTTAATTTCTTAAACTCATACCTTTTTCTGTTAATGCTGGGCACCTTTGAAAAACAGTGATTCACTGTAAGGGTTTACGAGGGTAAATGAGAAATAAATAAAAAATAAGGTAGACTTACATCTTGGTTGGGCCAATTCCAGTAGGGTCGCTCTCCGTAGGACATGATCTCCCACATGACCACACCGTAGCTCCAGACGTCGCTGGCCGAGGTGAACTTCTTGAAAGCGATGGCTTCCGGGGCCGTCCATCGGATGGGGATCTTACCTCCCTGGAAAAGGACGCAAGACAAAAAAAAAAAAAACAGAATCTTGAAGTACACCTCGTCCTCGCTCAAAAACGTCAATCCATGCAAACGAGATTGGCCCCCTCAACCTACTGGCCACAAGCTGACTTGCTTGCAGTGAACATGCCGTTCCTGTGATGCCGTGCCCTATGTTTTCAAATGGCCTTGCCTTACTTGAAGATATAAACTTTCACACTGGCTCACTTCTCAGAGCTGTTCTCACCCTTCGAGCAAAAAGGACTTGAAAGATCTCGCTGGTGGAGAAGTACATTATACCAGGCACGAAATGGGACAGAGGGGTACCCCCCCCAAGTCCAATCCCTATACACACTCCAGCCTATTGTTACTTAACACATCCCCCCTAGATGTCTGAAAAGAATTCCTGAGATACCTGAATAACAATGACCAACACAAAGGCGGGGGGCGGGGGGGGGGTTCTCTCTGTCCCATAGTTTGCTTCATACGAAGCACAATGTTCAAAAAACAATGCAATTCAAGTCCCAAGTGATTCAAATGAACTGCAGCAAAAGCATTCCATTGCCATTGTTCAACCTGTTACTTCTGGCCAGTCTTGTGAACGAACTTGTGACAGTCATGTGTCTGGTCTTGTGTTGGATCTTGTGACTGGTCTTACAACTGGTATTGAGACTGGTCTTACAACCGGTCTTGTGACTGGTATTGAGACTGGTATTACAACTTGTCTTGTGACTGGTATTGAGACTGGTCTTGAGTTTGGTCTTGTGACTGGTCTTACAACTGGTCTTGTGACTGGTATTGAGACTGGTCTTGTGACTGGTCTTTTGACTGGTATTGAGACTGGTCTTGAGTTCGGTCTTGTGACTGGTCTTACAACTGGTCTTGTGACTGGCCTTGCATCTGGTCTTTTGACTGGTATTGAGACTGGTCTTACACCTGGTCTCGTGACTGGTCTTGTGACTGGTCTTGTGACTGGCCTTGCATCTGGTCTTGTGACTGGTCTTGTGACTGGTCTTGAGTTTGGTCTTGTGACTGGCCTTGCATCTGGTCTTGTGACTGGTCTTGTGACTGTATTGAGACTGGTCTTGAATTTGGTCTTGTGAC